TAATATAATTTTCTTTTAATATTTTCTTAACTGCAGGCTATTATAATAAAATGCAAGCAATAGAATCAGTTCCACAGGATGGTTTTAAGTCATGAAGTGATAGAATTTGATCATTGGTAAGGTGGGTAGATGGATGGGTATATGGAGATACAAAGGCAGCTGAAGATGGAAGCATTTGGCTGCTTTTAATTTTTTTAAATATGACAGCTGAAAATATTTATTTCTGTGTTCCTTGTAACTGAAACTCAAAAAATTTCAGAAAGTATTTTTTGAAAGAACTGCTTGAATCATTCTCACAAACTCATTTTGTTTTAAATTATTGCTAATTCCACAAATAATGTTAATAAGATAAAAGAAGTATTTGGAAGGTATTTCGCTGTAATATGAATAGTAATGTAGTATCTTTCCCTTGGTTACTTCAATACAAACAATGCTTTCAGTAGCCTTTGAAGATTTATCATTTTGGTTAAATTTCATAATATTGTTACATTCTTTTTAAGTCTTGGTTTCCCAGAGGGCATCTGAAAGCCGAATCTGAGATGTCACTTTTTTAATGTAATTTTAAGTTTTTAATTAATCTTTAGTAATAAATCTGTTGCTGCATATAATTTGATTGATATGTCTCTTAAATAAGTGCAAATGAAATTTCTAAAAAATATTTCAAAAGATTATGAACTATTCATGAGATATAAATATGCTGACTAAAGTCATTACACCTACTTCCTCATTTTCAATTTACAATTTAAAAGGAAATGTTATCTTCTTGAATTGATTTATAAAAAGCCTAGAGAGCTTAACCAAATGAACTAAATTAACTTAATGAACTAACTAGGAAAATCTCAGCATGATTCCTTCTTCACCCATACAGCATCTCCCAATACAGACTCTAAATGAATCACTGTGTGATCTCTATGAAAAAAAATACCAAGGAAACCTTTAAAGGGTATGAAAACCAAAAGCCTGTAAACAGAGTAACAAGAAATGCAAGAAGATTATTTTTCAAGAAAACGGACAGAAATGAGATCAAAAAGAGGAACACGGGAAGCACAGTAGAGTTGGATTGTCTCAAGTTGAAATTGGATTGTGTTTTAGGAAATAATTGTGAGTCCAAAATACAAGATCTATAAAATATTACCATGCTAAGATTACATAATCTAGTCTCATTAAAATATTGACATACCTAATAAAATATAATGCTATATTATTGTTTATGCTATGATATAGTTTATGACAGAACTTAGCATATAGACACTATAATTAACAGAAAAGCTTTTACACAGAAACATATTGCTGTTTCCCGATGCTGAAAACACAGTATAGACATTTCTGATTTTTTTATTTCTGTGTTTTTTCTTTGCAATAGAGACTCAAGCATGTTCACAAAACGGGTTTCTCTTAGAAGTCTTTGAATCATTCTAACAAATCTGTTTTGTTCTAAATTGTGACTAATTTCATAAGTAGTATTAATCAGTTGAAACTAGTCACCTTTTAATTCAACATTGCAAAAATTAACAGAACATGAATTACAGCAGTGTTTACACATGTGCTACATTCAATTTCTTCAAAAAGCAGGAAATCAAAACAGTTGTTAATGCTGTTTTGGTTTAAAATACAAAGTACTTAATGCACCATCTGTCGCCTAGAGATAGTTTAAGAATATTATGAATAAGTAAATTTGCTCTTTATGAATGGACTTTGGTTTACAAAGCCTACTATTAGTATTAGTTTTTCCACCTACACTGTCTTTATCATTGCTTTTATTATATATAATAATATATTAATAATAAATGCATAAATTAGATACTTCTGTGAATTATAAGAATTCTCTGCTCAGATATAAAAAATACCGAGACTTGATTCTTTACCCAGAAAAATGTCTTTTAGTCTTTAAACCTCTGTCCAATAAAACATTCACCTTCTGAAGGGAGGAAAGGATTTTTTTTTTGAGGAAATATTTTGAAATATCCAAAGTATAAAATATGGTAAAAATGGCTAGAGTCATTTTATTACCATAGGCTGCAGTAAATGTGACTTTAGTGGGAAGTGTCTAAATTAAATGCAGAAAGGGACATAATATTTTTTTTCCTGATGGACCTAATGAAAATACAGTATTTAAGCGAGCTTTAAAACGGAAACACAAAAGAAAGAATGTATGTTAATGTGAAATGGTCCTTAACTAATGATTTTCTTAAAACAAACCTTTAAAAGTTTATCTAAGGCTTCCACAAGGCAGAGAGACACCCAGACGCACATCTGTGATATGTTTGCTAGGTTACAGTTGCTGTTTTACGAAAGGACGTGAGTTATGAAGTGAGTCCTTTTGTAATCGTTCTAATAAAGCTGGATAAGATGTACAAGGGACCGGACTCCTTCAAGCTGTTGTTCTGTAAGTAATAGCAAGACTGGATGAGGTTTGAAGTTCCGTGTATAAATTGCTACAGCAACTCAAAACCCTAGAATGCTTTGTCGAGTATAGAAATCCTGTGAATTACCGGTGTCCTTCCTTTTTACGGAATGGTGAAAACTAGCAATGAAGAATCTGTACTTCATGAGGTCACCATGCTTTTTGAAGAAAAGGATCTGGGTACACAATGTGTGAGCCCTGATTCCTTTTGCGCCTAAAGCTTCAACTCATTCTCCGTACTCAGGATACCAAACAGAATAAGAGCAGGAAGACATCTTAGACTTTTATTCTTAAGACTGTGCTTGGTTAATAGACACAGAAAATCCAATGAACTCTGATTACCTTATTACCTGTAGCTCTTAAAAACTGTAACAAAGAAACCACAAAGTGTAGACTATCTCTCTCTCTTTTTTAATCTCACCTGTCTTTTCTTGATTAAACAATTTAAATCTTTAGGGATCAATTTTCAGCCTGTTTTCGGAAGGAAGTACAGTTAGTTTTTACCCTCCTCCTTAGCAACTTTGATTGCTGTAACAGCCTGTTGCTTAATTTTTCAATTCTATTCAAAAATCAACTTTTGTAAAAGAAAATACTTAAATTGTAAACCCTGCTCAAATGACTGGGAATCTCTGATTTTAATCTATTCCAATATTCTAAAACAATTTAAGAGGAGATACTAACATGGTGAGAAAATACGAAGCTGGACAAAATAATTCTAACACAAATTAACAAATTATTGTTAAAGGATAAGAAACGTTAACCAAATAACCCTGAGAGATGTTGCTAAATATTCATAACCCTGTTTCGTGACTGTTTGCAGGGCACCCAATTGAATGCACCAAAAATGTAAATCTAAAGGCAGTAAATTTAAAAACAAAAATTCATAGTATAGACTGAGTATATCTGTTTATATAGAATATGGAAACTATCATGAGCTCCCTAAGATCCTAATTAGTTCTTCCTATTATAAAGTTTATGGTACTTAGGTTTATTGCTTAATTTTGAATTGTCTACAGTGAATATGACCTATGGCAAAGAATTGCTACTGTAAAAATTAGGTGTTTAAAAAAACTGCAAAGCAAACCTTGAGACGATAGAATTTGCAAGAAAATTTGATTTCTTGCCTTTTTGTTAACAATACCCAGCTAATCTGGGACCCTCATCCGCTCTTGACTGATACTATATAATATTTATGCACGCATGACAACAAAATATGTTTCAATAAAAATATATTTGAACTAGCAAAGCAAAATTGCTTTAAGCTTTTGATCTGTCCCCTAGCTCACATCTCTCAAAGCCTTTTGCTTTCAACAGTTACATTCAAAAGTCAAAGATATACAGCTGATGATTCAAGCTGAATGACACTACGATAAACTATGGTTTCTCCTGCAGATAAAATACATCATAAATCGGTGCAACACTTACCTCATTTTAAATATTACTGTCTCCTTTTATCAGGTAACACTATATGACCTTGTCTTACCTCCTTTCTTCCCATATTTTACATGGGAGTTTAATTCTATTCAGTGATCACAACCAGAATTTTTTTTAATTAAAATAGGATATATGGCTTTAAAGGCTTAGGTTATCTAATAGACCAATTTAATTAAAAATAATAATAATGAAGACAGACTGATTTCTGGTGCTGTGTAAACTGTAGCAATAACAGAATTAGATAGATTTTTAAGTTGCAGTCACTCTTTATACTTAACTGCCATTTATCACATGTATAAAACTATAGGCAATAGTATTCAATAAAACAGAGATGTATTCACAACTAACTGGTAAAAAGATGTTTCTGTGAGGTATGAAACAGCATAATTTCTAACCTTTTAGGTTAAACCACCCATCACCAATTATAACAGACCAACACCATCAGCACCAGGTCTCCCGTGAGCAGTTTGATTTACACTGTCAAGTATCTGGATAGAGGTTGTGCCTTTTCTGGACCCTGGAGTCTGATTTGTACATTTCAAAACTGCTGGATGTGTTAAATGCCCTAATATAAATCTTGATGATCATCTGAGTAACTTGGGATTTGTACCCTTCATCCCCCAAGCCTGTTGAAAGACGAACTTTCTCCTTTGGCTCCCTCTGTTCAGGAAGAGTGTGGCTTTGTGAATCAGAATCCAGATAGCCCTGCCCACTCCCCCTGACCTTTCTTTTTATGCCTTCCCCGAGCAGACATGAGCAGATGCATCACTTTTGTCTACCACCAAGTTTTTTAATTTGAAAGTGGTAATGGAAACATACCTCTGTGGATTTGATCCTTCCCTCAGTTCCTAAGTGACTCTGTCTTGAGCTCTTACCCTTCTAAAACATGTAGGGCAGCAGCCATAGGACAAATTCTCTCTAGTAGGTGTCCTTTCCTAACCATGTCCTTTTCTCAGGAAGTCTGGGACCACTGAAATTTGATGACTATTTCCCAAACCAGGTGAAAAATACCTTTTTGCTTTTAATTGATCCCTTTTGAGGTAACAGCTATTTTTAGCACAGAAAGGGAAGTAGTTATGAGGGAAGCTAACATACATTACCAAATAATGTATCCTATTTTCTTATGACACAAAAGGAATAAAATACCCTTTCTGCAACCCTAATGATTTGAAAGGTCATGTTTCTCTCTGTTCATGACATGTTGTGTGAGCATCTTCACGCTGGCAGTCATCACTTTTCTTGGCATTCTGCAACTTCAGCCCACTAGGATAGGTGCTGTTGGACCAATACTGTACTTGCCACATCACAGCCGGAGAGCATGAGAGCTGAATAACGCAGTCTGTGACCTTGGAACAGAAGGAAGTCAGTGTCAGCATCCTCCTCAAAGCTCAGCATCACTTTGAGGGCAGAGGATCCAGATTCAGATGTTCTCTGGTTCCTCCTTCCATGCTATCAAAACTGTTACCTTGTATTGTTCTTTTGTTTTTCCATGCTAGCCTCGAAAATTCAGTGTTTCTTTCTTCACAAGTAAGTCTTCATACCTGCAATTAATACCATCCTTTCTTGCTTTCGGGGGCAGTTTGCATCATCAGTTACCAGATCCTGTCCTTGCCATGGGCTCCTTCTAATGTCTGAGAAGACACACCAGTGTACTTTGGGAAAAAGTCATGTGTTATTATCACTCTTCTCCAGATGGATGTGGGGCTTTTCCCCCTCCCATTTCTATACATTTCCCAAGTATCCATACTTCTCCTTCTATGTACATAATCCATTCATTACCACTTACCTCATTTTATCTATCTTTATAAGAAACCAACTAAATAAAAGAGAAGAATAAAGTCTGGCTTATTCCAGGCTATACCCCAATGCTAATACACCTTCTAACATTTGTTGGGCACTCAAAAATTATGGACCAAACTGGATTATCTGATATTAATGGTGCTTTTTAAAACTAATTACATTCTCCCAGACATTCAAGTGTTTCCAGTTATAGTCTAGCATGGTGATGGAGGCATCAAGGTGCTAAGTTATAGCTAACATGGGCTACACAGAAAGATCCAGTGTTACAACAAACTGAAGAACCCAGCGCTGCTGCTGCTGGTCCCTCTCTTGGAGACCCTCCAGCACACTCACTATTCTCACCTTTTAATCTCTCTGCCAAAGTCTTGCTCCTCCAAAGCTTACAAACTAACCCACTGCCTTCACTACAGCCTTTTTGTCCAGAATATTGTATCGGATTCTAAAACTCTAGGATCCCAATTCTGACTGGGCACCCTTAGAAAACCAGTCTCAGCCATTCAAAAAAATCTTGAGCAGGGTATACTGTTTGCATTGTCTAAAGTCCTTACCTTGGCATTCAAGGCATGCCAGAAACTGCATCCTGTTGTCTCTAGGCATCCCTCCTATTCCCTGGAGCCAGGCTTTTTCCTTACTAATACCACAGCATCTCTTGTTTTCCTTCCTCAGACTTTAGCTTTAATGTTGGATGTCCTCCTACAACGCTCCCTAACTCAGTCTAAGTTGTGTCCATAATTTAATAGTCGACCTAGATTTCCACTTATTTATGTATTCATTAAGGCCCACAAAGAATTCTAAGGTATAATAGGATCTATTTGAACCCTTATTTTGAAATATGACCGTGTACTTAATTACCTTATTTCATTTTATTAGTTTTAGATAGCTTTATAAGACATTCTCATGTTAAAACTCAAGGAGTAAAAAAGTAAAACACTGGTCTTTTTCCCAATCCTGTTAACCAACCAGGTGACTCCCAGAAACTACCAAATATCATAATTTTTTTATGTATCTTTGTGGAGACATTCCATTAGTAGGCAATAAGAGGTAGTGCTCTCTAGTTTGCTCAGGATTTTGTATCAAACGTCTCTCTCCTCCATAGCTATTTAATATTTTATTTACTCACCATTTCCCATTTACAAAGGCCATATGGCTTGTGTCCTTTATAGAATGTCACACAAACATTTGTTGATGGAATGTCCGATTCTTTCAAGTTTGGAATAAACCACTCAGTGCTGAGATAGACTCTCTGCTACCTTCATCCTCAAGTGAGAAGGATAAAAAGAATAAACAGCAGGTTTTCCAAACACTTCCTCCGTGTAACCATTAAAGGGGAATTAAGGCATGACAAACCACACATGCAGATGTGCATTGTTCCTTCCTGATACTTTAATATGTTCCAGATCCAAGAGCACGTTACTGTTTCCTTTGGTTCTGATACATATACTGATACAAAGATTAACAGAGTCACAGGTTTGTAATGGACGATTCTGTTTCATTTTAGAAATCACCCCCTCCTGAAGCATTCCAAGTTCACTGAAAGTATGTTTGCATTGAAATTTTTCTCATAATTGCGTCCATCTCCATTTCATGTTGGACATATTAGAAATGACATGGCAGCCCACCCACCTTGTCAGTGCTTGCTAAATGTCTTACAGTCCTACGATTATTTTAAATGTGTGTATGAAACTATGAAAATGATAAGACCCCAGGACAATTTTTCATATAAAAATAATATCAAACAGTTAACCCTTGGGAGGAAATACATTTCATTCATGAGTGAACAATTAGCTTAGTCATTCTATTTCAACATATTATATGGTACATAGTACTGTCAATGTTCAGTGTCAAGCTGTTTATCTGGCTAATAGGAATCCAACTAGGTAAGTCAGAGTCCCTCAGAATCTATTAAAGAGACTTTGACTATCAAACTGACTGCCTCAAATTCAGAAAACTAACCTGAAAAGTACCAGGTTTTCCTTTTTCTTCACACTGTGCAAACAAGAACTGGAAGGCATCCTGCATATAAGTCCCTAGAATCGGAACTTTTTTTTTAAGCTGTTGACTTTATGTTTAAACTAACGCCCAAGATTCAAATAGTAATTACAAAGGCGTAGCTTTTCTTAGAAATTAAACATATTTGGAGGAAACTGCTTTTAAAAAACATTGCTTTGGATGACTTTTAAAAATGTAAAAATTTATTTTCTCAGAATTCTGGAAAATATTGGTCTTTTTAGGTTTAGAATTTTAGTAGCTCATTGAACCAGCAGAATTGCAGTTCATGTTGAAGTTCCAGTTTATGTTGTTTTGCTTGATGACCATTTTCTTCTGAATAAACATGCACAAAACTCATTTTCAAAAGTTTACTCTCTAGTCTGTGGGCTTATCACCCAGAGAGTCTCATAAATATAAAATATTCTCATGTGGGGCTGGAAAGATAGCTCAGCAGTTAGAGCACTTAGTGACCTTGCAGGGGGCCAAGGTTCAGTTCTCAGCAGTCACATGGTAGCTCACAATCATCTGTAACTCCAATTCCAGGGGATCTAATGCCCTCTTCTGGCCTCCAAGGACACTAGGCACTCATGAAATACACATGTGTACATGCATGAAGGCACAGCATTCACACGTACGAAATAAGCAAATACTTTTCAGCCAAAACATTTATGTGTAAGTGAATAACATGTGAATTAATAACTTTGATTTGATGAATGAAACTTTCATTTTTAGTTTTTATAGGTTAGGTATATATTACCATAATGGTTAAAATATTTACCAAGAAAACATGAAATATCATCTAACAGGTAAACACGTTACTTCAGTAACATGCCCAGACTTTGGTAACATGGGTTAGCAATACTTTGTCTCAGTTGGCATGATACATAGCTAGGAAGTGAATATCTCCAAATGATGATGCTTGGTTTGTTTGTTTTTGTTTTTTTGCAGTTCCTGTTGAAGTTTATCAGCCACTGAGACCGAGACAGTAGTCATCAAAGACACAGGAAGTAAGGAAAGCAGCAGAGATTCTCTTTTTCTCCCACTATTTCTGGATTGCATGGGGATCATAAAGAGACAAGCAAAACAGCAGAGCAACTTGAGCAGATCACATTTTCGACTAGGAAAATTGTGCCTAAGGTGTTCCATCAGCAAGAAACAAAGAGGGGAATTACTCCTCTCCGCTGATGAACTTCCTCCTGAACAAACCCTTACCTTGTTTGCATTCTGATTTTGACAGTGTAGCAGAAGTACAAAGATGTTTATTCTCAGGGGGTTTGCTCCCCGTGGCACCAGCTTTTGCTAATCCTCTGCAGCCTCAGTTCCTTTGGTTGGTGGCCATCTGGCATGCTGCCTTTGATTTTATGAATAAGGTCTCCAATTGTTTCTGCAGCTGTTATCAGTGCAGCCTGACCTGCTCCAAATGGGGATAACAGGGGAGGGGGGAAATAGCCCCACAACGTGCACGGCATTCCATTCCTGTGGCTCTCTTCCCAGACCGCTCCTTGTGATTTTCCTAGTGTACATTCCTCAATGCAGATGGTGACACAGCCAGACCTTAGTGTAAGAAACACATAAAAGTGAGCTTTTCTCGGGAATCATTGTTTATAACTAGACTTATGAATTATGGATGAAATGTATTAAGTCTCTGCATCTTATACATATTGTTGTTTTCATCCTTGGTCCTTAAAGGTGCTGGTAACTATACAATTTCTTTATGCCTCCAATAAGTTGTTTCTTGTGTCTCTAGTAAGGTTAATATTTGGCATAATGATGTCATATAAAATAATAATTTTTCAAGTTGTGCTCCTAGGAGCCCAGAAGAAGAAAAGAGGAGATGAGAGCAAGGGACAGCGACCTGCTGGTCTCAGTTTCAAGTGCTGAGATAGAAGGGTCTTGAGTTGAGGCCAGTTTGAGTTATGCAGCAAAGCCACAACAGGACATAAGGAGGGTGAAGACATTTCAGTACTATTTTAGAGAATGACTGAATTCACTTACTGCAAAAGGCAGAATCGAGTCAATTCAACACATAGATGATAAGCTAGTGCCATCATTAAAAGCATTTTTATTCTTTCCCCTCCAAATAGATCTCGTTGTAGCAAAGCTTCCTACAGTTTCAGCTTCTAGTCTTCTAGTTAAAAAACACACACAAAACATCCATTTTAGGGCAGCTGTCAAAGGTTGACCCAGGGAGCACATTAAATCACCTTACGAGCTCCTCTCTGGGAATAAATACATCTGCTTGCTCTTGGGTCCTCGTAGGGTCTTGAGAAAGCCTGGGAAGATGTGACAGGGGATGACAGTAATAGAGAAGAAACATGTTTCCTAGGTTATCACTTCAGGAAACTGTAATGCATTCTGGGGCCACTGGTCTAGGTGTGGAGGGGAATTTAAAGATGAGGCAGAAAGGGCAGTGATAGGAAAATCAGACTGAAGGAGAGAGTGAAGAAAAGATGCTTAGCAAGGGGAGGGGACAGGTTGGGACACCACGCTGGGAGGCATTCTCTTCATTTACCCTACTGTTCTTCAATACTATTCCTGCTTCTAAAGCAGCCCAAGTCTTTCTTTTCTATATGAATCCTCTGTCCTTCTGATCCTGGCAAAAATAAAGGTATGTTTTCACTTTTATATCACCACCCTTACCCATAATAACTTCGAAATAATTTTATTCATCTGGAGCTGCCTCTTTCATTCCTCTCTAGGTTCAGCTGGGAAGCTTCTCAAGTATGCATGAAATATGTCGTATATCTTGACTTTCATTGTCTCTATTTTCACATGGAGAGTTACTCAAAATATAATATCATGCTCTATATGTATATTCTCCCCCACAGAGTATTTATTTCACTTCCATAATTTTTAAATGAAAAAAAAAAAAGTCTGTGGAGTCACCTTTTGCATTCTATTAAAGTGAGAATCAAGACTGAGTTATTAATGACTCCTCATGTTCAAATTGTTTCACCCTCGAGCCTGTTCCGGAGGGAATGAATGGGCTTGAAGTATGCCTCTGCTCTCACACAGTGATTTTGTGTTTCTGCTTGAAGAGTTATTCCTAATGATCAATTTGCTGGCAGCTTAGCTTACAAACAGGAAAAAGAAAACAGCAAGACTTTTTCAGCTTGAGATAAGAATGGGAACTAACATGGTGATAAACTAGAATTCTGCCTCGCATTTTCTTAGCAACTGTCCTTGTTCTTGTACATGAAATTTTCAACAGTACATAATATTGCCATGGGATCCTTAACAGTTGGCAAAATGCTTTGATGTGCAATTTCCGGTTTCTGCAGTCTGTGATCTCTGCCTGCCTTCAGACCAGGGTGACTGATATCCAAGATGCCACTATGACTGAGAACACAACTCCAGCTCATTTTTTTTTCAGTAGGCAACTCCATGGGAGGTGACTAGGATGCACCCACAGATCTGCATGGCCCTGGATCAGGACATGTGTTCTACTCCATGAGGCAAGGTCAAGACAGGGGACACACTGCACCTTCTGCAAGGAAGAGGCTTCTGATTTGTCCATCACACTATGAAAAAAAGTCTGAAGTGCAAATACCTTTCACACCGCTCAGCACTTTGGAGGAGGCTGGCAAGGATGGATGCCTTGCTGAGCTCTGGGTTCCTTTGATGATCAAATAAAAGGATCCCAGCTCCCTGATGCTTGAAGCTCTGCTCTATCCAGTTTCTCCCGTGGGAGGCCAGAGGAAGCCCTAGGAAACTTCTGAGGACTCACTCACTCTGAGCTACCAGTTCCTGCTGGTCTACAGGTAGGGAAGGTCCAGGCAGCCTGTTGGTGTCTTTTGGGATCCATTTTCTAAAGCTTTATTTATACAAATTACTTTCTTCTTCCTTTCATTAAGCAACTAGGATTTCTTTTCTTTTCTCTCTGTATGAGCCAAGAACACATTCAATATGCGAAGAACCAATCCACCTTGGTGTGCTTATTTATTTCTATTTCTGATGAGACAGGTTCAATACAATGAGTGAAGTCAGAAAAAAGCAGCTAGTGGTGGGTGGTTTTTTTTTTTTTTTGCGTTTATGTGATTATCCTTTGTGAATCATTTTTAATTATTTTCTTTATCAGGGGATAGACGATAAGTTGGAATCTTTGTGCTCAGCAGGAGAAAGGCAGCTGAAAGAAAGTCCCAACAAAAGTCTCACACTCGGCAGACTTCCTCACCCCTGGGCTCAAGCCACAACTTCCTCTGTGAAGAGACTTGCAGTTGAGATAGTGAAACCCTTCCAGCAAAAATCAGCTAAGTCCTGGGGAACCCCCGACAGCCCTGACCACCATTCAGTTCATTCTGATTCTCACTCAGGCTCATCCAACTTCCCTAGATCAGAGTGAGAGGAAGGATCCCAGGTAGGGAGGGTCCAGATTCCAGGCTGGTAGAAGGAAAACCTGCTCCCTCCCTCGGGAAAGGACATCTTGAGGTTTGCTTGGTAACAGTGAAAACTCAGAAGACTAAAAATCCTTTAGCGGACACTGACATTAAAAACGCTGAATGGGAGAGCCCTTGGTTGACGAGCAGCACCCTTTGAAGGAGGCATGAAGCACCCTCCTTTGGACCTCCAGATCCTGCAGATGAAAATCGGCTCTGAGAAGCAAAGGGAGTGAGGGTATTGTTGTCGTCTGTTATTAGGCACGTTAGTGGTCTTATGGAAAAGCTGGTATGTTTGTGTGTCGGGGGTGGGGTGGAGTAATCAAAACTGCACCCATGAAGCTCATGGATGAGGAGAGAAAAGCTTCAGCGAGGTGGCCAGTGTTGTGTCCAACAAACGCTTCTCCTAAAAATCACATCCTCTTAGTGCCAGCCTCAAAAGAGTCCTAATATAAGCCTGAGCCACTTACTTAAACCAGCATTTGTAGGTGCGCGCACGCATGTGTGTGCGTGTGTTTCAACAATCGTGCCTCCAATGCCTCAAACCGGAAGCACTAAATAAAGATTAGTAAAGGGAATGATGGGATGTCAGAATCTCACTACATAATGGAAAAGGGCGTTTACTAGCTAAAGAAAGAAAGGAACAAATTTAAAATGCTCTTTACCCCACAGTTTGGGGGCAAACTGTCCACTGATGATGAAAATAAACAGTACCCAGCGTTTTCAACTACTCCTCATAATAAAGAGAAGCGGAGTCCTATGTGGATGGGGGTTCAAGATTGCAGAGTGCTTTTAAGGAGTCTTTTTTTTTTTTTTTTTTTTAAGGTTCTGGAGAAAAGAGAGATCCTGAGACACGGGGTTCAGTTGGGAGGTGGAACAAACATTACTTCCCCAGTATCAAATTTATAAAGGAAAATCTGCGGAACTTTCAAACTCCAGTCCAAGTAGAGAGCCCTCCTGAGACTCAAAACCCAACTGTTAGGTGGTTTTGGGAGTGGATGCAGAAGGACCACACTAACTCCGCTCAGCACCCCGGGTGCTGAGGAAATGGAAGCCCCAGGGTCGAACGTGAAAGTTCTCTGGAGGCTCCTAGACTTGCGGCGCAGCACAGTGGGAAACTCTGGTGTCGGGTCCCAAAGCGGAGTCACTGTCTTCACACCCTCTGACTCGGCTACTGACAGAGGCCATGTGCGCAACTGCCGTAAATGTATATAAAAGCATCCCTCCAAGGCGTTGGTTCCTTCTGTTCTTGGAATGCTTTTTTTTTGGCATTTTCCCGGTGTCTTCGGAATTCGAAGTACGTTTTCCTCTTTACTTCAGACAGGATTCTAAGTGTGAACTAGATGGTGCAATTCCCACCACCCTACTTCTTGGCCCCCATGCGCCTCATGGGCAGCCTGGGAAGCCCTGCAAAATTCGCCCCAGCAAGGAGACGGGTTATTTTAACCGCCCAGGCAAGTGTTCTGTGGAAGGTGGTTGGACCAAACGAGAAAATGCTGCCGCGCCTAGCTCCAGCAGGTCACCTGGAGAGTGCTGGGTCTTGGAGTGCCAGTTTCTATCGCTGGGCAGCATAACCAAGTTCAAGGAACCGCCCCTACGCGTTGCCTCCTCCAGCAACATTTTGAGAATGTATCCTAAGAGGGGGATGAGGCAGAGCCAATGAGGATGGGAGGGGGCCGGCCAGGGGAGAAGCCCCTGGGAACGGGAAAGAGGAGTCTGCTGACTTAGGGCTCCAGGCTTTGATTTTAAGCGGCAGTGAACCGGGGTAGCTTGACACTCCACCCCCTGCCTATGGCTCAGCTTGATCCTGGAGCTAGTTAGGGCGTTAAACGGGTACGCGGGTGGGGCAATTCATTAGGCAAGAAATGGATTAGTTGTTTATTATCTATAAACATTCCAACCACAGCAACGGATCATAAAACCGCGGAAGGGCCTGTAAAGGGAAGGAGCGAGGAAGCCTCCATGTGGGCAGCGCGGATTTGGCGATTGTTCCCGTGTGATAAAGGGTCCATTAGAGAGGGAGAGGCCGGGAAGGGGAAATGATTTCCTAGGCTGGGAGTCACGATTTCTCTAAGCTGCATGGGGGTGGACACCAATGTTGGGGTGAGTTGGTAGGAGATGATGAGAGAACGGACAAAAGATTGGAAGGCCGCGGTGGGGCCATTAGCAAGGCTCATGCAATAAAAGCTACGAATTAAATGAGGAGAGCAATTTAGTCTTCAGGTTCTTGGCGAAATCCTCAGAAACCATGAAAGCAGCCCAATAAGATTTTATGGAGGAAAAGAAGTTTAAAACCAACATCTCTCTGATGGCAGACGTGCTGTGGAGGGCTGGCTTTTTAAAGTTTTCGTTCAGAATAGAAAGTTTTTAAGAGGAGTTAATCTCAAACAATTAAATACTTTTTAAAGTATAAAAGGAATATATATATGTACATATATAAAATATATGCATATATTAACAAATGGCTTTTTTTGTTTCCTCAGCTGTTTCTTGAAACAGGATTTAAACTCTCCTTGCCTATTTAACATTTTACTTACTCTGTCAGAAACAGTGAAGACTTTATTTCTATTGGTTTCTAAGCAACTGCTGAGTATACTTTCAATCGAATTCAGAACCTCTTAGAAATCATTGGTAACTTTATTCGTGCAATTTCAGCAGTGTATTATTTTAAATGTTTAGGAATGACAGTTTTATAAAATGGTGTTACATAACAGAGGTTTCTTAGTTCTCAAATTTTAAAAACTCATTAAACAGAACATGCCATAAGGGACATGCTTCATAGACGATCAATTATAAAACATAATAATAGACATAGAACAACTCAGAAATCAGGATGAAGGGTTGCCAGCACACCCAGAAAGTCCTCCTCATACAACAGATTAAAAAATGTTTTTAATCTGCTAATAATAATCATACTTGGGGAGATGTTGATATTGAAATAATTACTCCAGTTCCTGAATTCCTTTTGGGTACCAAAATCTTCTTGAAAATAAAAACAAAACTGCTTTGGGTATCCCGAAGAGAGAACAAAAAGTGGCCTCCACATTCGTAACCCAGCCCCCACCTTTCCTTATTCCACACTGAGAGACATAACAAACAAACCATTACATGTTGAAAAACACATCTGAAAACAGAGAGGTCACGTGCTGCCAGTCCTGGGGAACATTAGCTGGTGTTTGGAAAGAGTTGACAGTTGAAGGTTGAGGTTTCTCTCTTTTTTTTTCTGCTCAGAACAGGAAGGGAAGAAGGGAGGGGGGGAAGAGGAGGGGAGGGAGAAAAAGGAGGGAGAGAGAGAGAAAGAAAAAGGTTAGAATGGGATGGGGGGGATTTACAAGGTACAGCCTTGCAAAAATAAATTATCTGAAGGATACCAACTTTCTATTCTAGATTCCAACACACACATACGCACCTAGGCACACAGATACAAGTACAGACACTAAAATAATATGAAATGACTGGAATTTGCATTGGTTCAAAATATGGAGAGGAGTGGGCTTTTGTTTGTTATCACAAAACAACTAAAAAAAATAATCATAGTAACATCAAACTCCGGCTTCCTCAAGGGGAAGATTGTTGGACAAAGGTGGGTTGCCTTGCCAGTAGCTTCAGGGAAGGTGAAAGTCGATGGCCTGACCATTGCTTAAAAGCTCCAGGATCCCTTAGCCCAGCTAATCCGCTAAAGGCGGAATGCTTCTAATCATGGACTCAGTTGGGTGCAAGTAGCCCACCTCGCAGTATCTGTTGCCCTCTGAGATCCCTCTTATCTTGAATTTGGGAGGCAGACATTCCTTGAGCCCACACTGGAAACTGTCATATTGAAATTTGGATTGGAAAAGGACACTAACAATAAATAGTGACTCCTTCATGGCCTGTTCAGATCTTGATGTCTCCAAAACATAATGCATTTCCGAGGCGGGCGGGCGGGGGGGGGGGGGGGTGCGGAGGGAAGGACCAGGGAGTGAGAGATGGCCGAAAGATATTTGGGATTAGACAGAACTTTGTACAACCTTGAGCATGTCGTTTTAACCTGGAAGAGCTCAGCTTTCCCGAGGCACCTAACTATGTCTGCTAATAAGCTCCTGCATTCTTTGATTGTAGGACAATGATGAAATCATCATTAAGAGATATCGCAGGTTACTTGAGCCTCGCCCTTGGCTTGTCTGGTAAAAGTGTGTATGTGGGTCTGTCTGCCTGTGGAAGTATTCGTAGTAAAGATTACGTGCTGGGAAGTTTCTAGCCGAGACACCCTTCTTCCCCCCCTCCCGCCCCCCCCCGCAGTTAACCGCCCTATGGTGGGGTGGCTCTGAATCCACTATCGGCGCTGACAATGACTCTTGCGTGTGTGACACAAGTGGATTGCACACCTGGTTTGTCAGACTCTTGCGAACAGCGCGGGACTTCACTCTCAGACCAGTGGACCAGTCTACACCCCCACCCCACCCCTGCCGCCGCGCTTTCCAGTCCCAGGCCTCAGGGATCTCAGGTCTTTCTGCTCTGTTGGACCCACTTTCACTGCTCACCCCCCGCCCCCCCAAACCCCTCAGGTCAACTGTAACCATGCCCACTTCCGCCAGGCCCGCAGGCTCCTAGAGGCGTTTGCAAGAGTCGAGTGCCCAACACTGCGTTGCAGGCGGGACAGAGCTCCCGTGCAGCTAAGGCAAAAATCACAGCCCCTTGCAGTAGGAACAACCCGCTCCGAAGTTGAACGAGAATAGCCTAGGCAATGGGAAAGGAAAGGGCTCTTTGCCTTGGGGAAGAATTATTCCTAATCATTTAAGATGCACTCTCCCGGAGAACCCAGGCAGTGGCCGTGGCCATCGCAGTACCTGTAAAAAGCCAGAAGCCAAATTACGCAGCCACCCAGCCTCTAGGAGAGTGGGTGAGAACTAACTTGATGCTTGCAGGTAATTTCGGGTCTGTTTCTCAATGCATCATTTTTAAAAAAATATCCTTTTTCTTTTTAAAAACTATTTTCAAACAAAAACGCAAGCAGGTCCGAATTGCTGGCCTGAAATGCAGGCCTTGAGACCTAATGCAGACTGCGATGCAGGGAGGGGAGGGGGTGGGAGTGGGGGTGGGGGCTAGCAGTAGACCCTGAGTACCAAGGTCCTGTAGATCTGAGATAAAGATGTTTAGTAGGGGGGCATTTAGGGCAGAGATAAGGCCCTGGGATCTTGGAGGAATTTAGCCTGGCTTCAATGCTTCAGCAGGCAGCCTTATTTTAATATCGCCTCAGATCTCACCTGGAAGACGGAATGGTCCCAAGAGGGAGGTGGAAAAGACACTTCGCGGCCCCACCCCCCAGGCTTAGCAGCAAAGATGTTAAGGAGGAAATACATCAAAGGCCGGAGCGAAAAAAGTTAGGGGGACACCCTGCTTAACTCATAAATAATAATGCAAATGTACCTGAGTCATTCTTATTGTCCAGAATTCCTGGCACTATGCTTGAAATATTGGCGTCAGATATGGACTACGCCTCGTGCCAGAACACTGTTAATGTAAAAGGGAAAACAAGGAAAGCCAACATGAATGCCACTTTAAATAACCCTATCCAAGGGCTTAAATTTAGTGTGTTGGTTACAATTAAGAAATTACATTTAATAATTAGTTTTCTTCTTCACTTTACATCTTTTTATCCTATGCCGATGACACTTGGCTATTCAGATTACTTTATTGAAAAAAAATGACTTCAAATGAAAAAGAGTATCTGACTTTTAAACATGCTCTAATTTTGAAACAAAAATGTTTTGAACCACCTGGTGTCCACACAACACAGTACAAATAAAATTATACTTCAGAAACGAACAGAATTCATTTTCTAATATAAAGACTGACTCCAGTCTAACCAGGAAGGACTAGATAACTCTGTGCTAAGCAATGTTTTCGTTGTCATTCTCAAGCATGAGTGGATTAGTTTTAAAAAAAAAAATCACATTTGCAGAAATTATTGAACACTGGAAGAAAACAAGTGGCCGTAATCTTCCTGGTAAACTATAAATGCATTTCACATTTTGCCATAGGAAACTGTCACTTACATACTATACGCTGTCCCGCTCACTCATGTCACAGAGGCAATGTATGTCAAGTTAAAACTAGAGGAGAACGTCAAAGTTAACTCCCCTTGCTTACTATGCATGACTTATGTGGGAAAATGTTAAGAATCCTCCAAGGATTCACACAGGAAAATTGTAGAAGTTAGCAAACGGCAATCCAACAAGCCAAATCTCTAACGCTTCAGGACGATTTTCAAACAGCTAATTCCTTTAGATTGTAAATTGATGCATCTTAGGCAACATAATTCATTTGCAAATTTTCCATTTTATAGCAAAATGGGAGCAAATAATATCACTGGTCTTTATTTATTTATTTTTCTTGTAAAAGCCACCATTAAGAGGCTTTTTTGTGTGCTTAAACAGCAAATATTGAGATTTACAATATAAAGAAACTAGCTATTTGAAAATCTTCCTGAAGCGTTAGAGATTTATTTGACTTGTTGGATTGCCATTTGCTAACTTCTATAATTTTCATGTGTGAATATTTAGAGGATTCTTAACATTTTCCCTCATAAGTCTTGCTTATTAAGCAGGACAAGTTAACTTTGACGTTCTTATCTAGTTTTAACTTGACATACATTGCCTCCGTGACATGAGTGAGTGAAACAGCATTTTGTCCCTGTGGTGAAAAAAATTATAAGGACCGATAAACCATAGCAGTAGAAAGGCGAGACTTTCTGAGCAATGATGTTTCAAAAAATGTTCATGGAAAATTTTGATCAGACTACCCGTATAAAGTGTGCTCCTTTATAGTAAATATTAATGGTGGGATCATAGAGTTAGTGCTAGCATTGTTCTTACCCAAGAATTTTTGAACGACAGTGTTCAAAATCTTCCCCCCCCACACACACACACTTCGCATCCCTGCTGCAACAGGAGCAATACTCACATTAAAATAGTCACTAATCTTATGAAAAGAAAGCAATGTTTTAATCTCTTACCTGAAAGGCTCTTGTCACTGTGAGAGGAACTGAGACTGTCACTCTTCTGTGTTGTCTATTACAGTCCTGGCTTCTGTACCGCATTGCGTTTGTGAAGGATGAAATAACCATGTATAACTATAGCCTCCAGGGATCCTTATGAAAATGATATGTAGCTGGTTCAAATAAACGCTGTAGACCTTGACCTGGGAATCCAGTTGAGAAAACAAATTACCTCGCATATGCTAAAACACAATTAAAATGTTATTCTAAACTGGTTTTTGTGTGTATACTATTTTGTATGTGCATATTAATTCTATATTCAATCACCAAGATACATGTATGGAATCACACACAGTACTTATGGAAATATCACATGAACTTTTTTTTTAAGTGTAGCAAACATTGACTTTGAATGCAATCGCATGTAACTTCCATCTTCAAATACCTTCCAAAATGGCATATTTTTCTTAACAACACATTTTAGGCCCAGAGTTTTGGTGAATGCTTTTAATCCTAACTCCTGGAAGGCTGAGGCAGGAGAATTGAAAACTTATTATCAGCCTTAGATTCACATCGCAAACTCATGCTCTTGTGCAGTCTCTCCCTCCCTCCCTCCCTCCCTCCCTCTCTTTCTCCCTCCCTCCCTCCCTCTGTCTCTCAAATTGAACTCAGGGTCTTGCAGACACTAGACAAGTATACTTTCACAAGGTGGCACCCCATCCCCCCCACAGCCCTCCCAAGGTCATAATCTTTTTTTTTTTCTTCCAAGTTTACACTATTTTTAACTTCTTCACAGCTGACACTGCTGGCATTTACAATTTGGCTATACACAAATGGCTACATCTTCTATTGACGCCACCAAAATAAAGTCTGTCCCTCACTGAGGATTTTAATATTTATTTGCAATTGTATTTGCATTTGTTCAAAACAACTAGCTCTGTGGAGGGGATCAATTATTTGAAGCACAAACCAGTTTTATAGAGATACTATAAAGCGCTGGAGAGATGGTGAAGCGCTAAGGGGCTTCAGGTCTCTTAGAGGATCCCACCCAGTTCAGTCCTCAGCACCCTTGTCACCGGCCTTACAACTGCGGGTAAAACTCCAGCTCCAAAGGAATCTAATGCAGCCCTCTTCTGGCCTCTACAGGTATTGCACACATGCAAACATAACCTAAAAAAAATAAAAAAGAACACATACATTGTTTTAGCTAATGAAAATGAGGTTTGCATCTTAATATATTGCTATGGTATGGCATCATCAATCTAATTGTAAGTTGAGCTGGCAGCAAGATGAGTAATGTCTTTGAGGGTATGATTGGCATCCTGCCGCCATATCCCATGTGGATGTATGCTTTGCAGACTCCAGAGTGGAAATTTTTCCTCAATAGAACTTTGAGACAGATCACTCAGTATTTTTTTTTCAGCCTAAATATATTAGGCGTTAAAGCTTAATCTTATGTTTTATTTTTAAAGGATCATACTCAAAATAAAGTCTCAAAAATAAAAATGTTAGAATAACTATTTAAAAGTACAATGATGATTTCGATTTTTTTTTATCTTTGCTTTGAGAGAGTTTCACTATGCATCCAGGCTTTTCTGGAACTCACTATGTAGTTCAGACTGGCCTCCTCCTGCCTCAGCACCAGTTTCCTGAATCCTGGGGGTTTATGCATAGACTGCCGTTTTGATTTTTCTATGTCATTCACAATTTAGGCTCATTAACTGAGCACAAACTGATCTTTTCAAAAAGTTAAAAAGAATAAAAACATGTTATTTCATATGCATATATGTTCTTTTTTAAAAGAAGGTTAAAGCCAGCATGGGGTTTATGCCCATAATCCCAGAACCCTAGGAGCGGGAACTTAATTAAGTTACCTATATTATCTGTATATATGGAGCCATAAGGACACTTCCTATTCCTAATAAGGGATATCACATAGTCACTAACATGCTAATATAGACCTCACCATTTACTTTAGAAACAATTCAGGAATCCCCTCTCAGTTTATGAAACACATTTTTATCAACATAACTTTGAGACTGTAATTTCAATTACACTGCCCATCAGAACAATCTTTAAATAAAGTATACCTCCAGTCGCCATCCTGACTGCTAACAGTTTGGCACTATTCTGGGAGCAACAGTGAACAAAACAAGCAAAAGACCTGCTGGAGGTAGAGTTGGGCAACCTTTTCAACATCCATGAAATGAATCCCTGGGGGAAGAAAATCTGTAGTTCTTGAAATAGCCACTAGGTGGCAGAGTGTGGCGATACCGATAGCACTCTGTAGAAGAAAATTTGGTGCAGTCGCTTACTGTAAAACTGTTTAGCATATTTTGTTGCAACTGTCTCTCCTCTAGCAATACAGTTAATAACTAACAACCACAGTAGATCAAGTTCTCTGTTTTACAAAGCATCCCCAGCTAGGCACTGGTCTGTTCAGAAGGAAGAGAGCTAGCTGCCTCCATTCAAAGGCTTGCCTGCAAGCTTAAAATAAGTAATTCATCTTTTTTCTTCCTCACATTTCTTTGTACTCCAGATGGACAAATTATAGAAAGGGTCTGAACATCTGAATTTATACAGAGCCAACCAAGATTTTGCTCAATTTTATTCTAATTTACATAAATATATTTAGCTATCCCACTTTGGTCTGTTAATTTGGGAGGCTAGTGTCCAAATGCACATTTTAGAATAGTATCCTTGGGGACAAGTACTAAACACAGGCACCAATAGAAACACATGCATAATGTACATATTCAGCTAGGTCTTAAGCCCTTACAGTGCACAATTAAATTGCTTCTTTAGTCAGACTCCTATGGAACAGAACTGAGATATTTTTCCCAAATGAAATTGGACCTTTATTTATTCTTACATCTATCATAGAGATTTAAAAAAGGAAAGAAAGAAAGCCACTTTGTCTTCTCTAATAAATAGTTTGTACAAAATACAGAAATAATTTGCAATCATTTAAATGCAGAGTCTGATGAGGTTCCCTGTGCATTGACCGTATGAGATCCACATTCTTGTTTTTAGGTCAAGTGTTCTTTAATTTTAAAAGGGAGACGTTAGAGATGATTAATACTGCTGTGTTTGAATACGTCATATCCAGGTGACTATGGTCCTTTTCTAAGGATGTAAATGGGTTTTATCTTTTGGCATTAGTGTTGGAGACAAAACTCAGGGTCTCACACATCTTACACTTTCTAGGCAAGCATACTGTATTGGGCTACATTCCTCCTCCTCCTCCTCCTCTTCCTCCTCCTCTTCTTCTTCCTCCCCCTTCCTTCCTTTCTAGAATATTGCTACATAAACCAAGTCAGCTTCAAACTTGCTGTCCTCCTGCCTCAACTTACCCTCTTTAAGTGTTAGAATTACAGGTGCCCTTCATCATACCCAGCTATAGTTGTTTTATTAACTATTTGAATTATCTTTTTGCAGCACCTCCATCCACACAATCACCTTATGAAATGTAGTAACCACTGAAATATAATTCAAATAAATAGTTTTCTGGACAAAAAATGTTGATACTGTACCACATATTAAACATAAAATCTCTTTCATTTCTGTGCATGTATTTTCTTCTTACTCTCAAGATTGCCACTGTAACTGACATTACAATAAATCCCAACTTCTAATCCTAACCCTAACGCTGAGATGTACATTTACTTATGAGAAAATAAGTCTCCATCTTCAGAAAGGCTTTGTCCTTTGCAGAAAAAAAAAATACAGCTCTCTTCAGAATATCTAGTAAATGCTAAGTGAGTTATGAAATGAAAGCTATTAGCCAAATAACAATGAAAGAGTAAGCTTCATGTTATCTACAATTCTTATTTCAAAATCATTGTCAATTAAGTATGAGATTTCTGAAACCCCTATAGTAATGACATTTTTTTTCCTACAGGAAACTACTGATGAAACACATTTCCAAAATGAAAGTTTCTGTCTCAAGCCAGGGCTGAGCTATGAGGCATGATACAAATGGTCCCAGCATCACAGGATGGTTTTTTTTTTTGTTTTTGTTTTTTTAAATCATGGATTCCAACTGAAAAACAACTTAAGGATGTTTTTGATTGAAAACAAATTTTGAACCCTGTGTGCATTGCATCCAACATGCCTCCACCTCAAAGTGTTTAAACTTTTATTATTGCATTTATCACATTGTATTACAGTCAAGAGTATCATGACCATACATCCTTAGTTTATGCCTGTTCTGCTGAAGTTCCATCTGGTTTAGCATTTTTATGCTCTCAAAAGTGTCCTGGCTTGGACAATAAACCCCATAGTTCCCTAGTTACAAGGCAGGTGCCTGGTGGAGAGGCTAAGACTCACTGTGGTGGTCTCAAGCTGATTGTGGGTCTGTGTGACAGATTACTGATGGTGCCTGGAGATGTCTAGCTGGTTTGTATACAGAGAAAGACTTGGGAGAAATGTAGGCCAAGGGTCGGAGGCAGAGTCAGTGGAGGTATCCCTAAGGTTGTCAAGGACTGTGGCTAAGCCCATACTGAGAAGGTTCACCATCCCATTTCTAAAAACAGAACACATTGAAGATCGTAAGTACTAGAGATAACAGCATCTGTTATTATTATTATTATTATTATTAATTATTATTATTATTATTTTATGGCATTGGTGCCTTGCCTTCATGTATGTCTGTGTGAAGGTGTTGGATCCCCTGGAACTGGAGTTACAGACAGTTATGAGCCGCCATGTGGATAATGGGAATGGGGAATGGAACCCAGGTTCTCTGGAAGAACAGCCAATGCTCTTAACAGCTGAGCCATCTCTCCAGCCCCAGTACCTGTTATTTTAAAGCCTTGTCTTTGTAGCCCAGACTGGCCTCAAGCTCCCTATCTCACTTGTCCCAGTCTCCAGAGTGCTGGGGCTCCAGTGTGGCTTCTTTATGGTTGTGACTCTAAGTATTAGGCAACTGCACCTTGGTGAAGCAATCAAGAGCAACAAAACACTCTAGAAGAAGACATGCAACTCTGAAGCATTTCCACGGGCTCCGAGATGTTCCGGGCTGAGGTTGAACTTGGAGTGGAATTGTGCATGTCGTAGTCATCAAAGTAAGATTCAATTCGGGCTAGTATGATTGGTTTTGAGTATTTTGAGTACAAAATCAGTTACAGTATATTAACTAAAAACAAATATTCTTACCTATCTTTTGAGACAGGATCCCACACAGCCCAGGCTAGCCTTGAACTCAACATGTAGTTGCTGATGACCTGAAGTTTTGACTCTCTGGCCTTCCAACAAGTGATGGACTACAGGCATGTGCTATCATGTCCTACTTGCCTATTTTTTTTAATTAAAGTTTTCGAATTTATTTGGAGGTTGGGTGCGTAGACTTGCACATGATAAGCACATAATCTTTCATGATATTTCACTTAACTGTGTCCCATCTTGTTTTCTGAGGTGGTTGTTTGGTATTTTTGTTGGTTTGTTTGTTTTTGTTGGTTTGTTTGTTTGCTCAGAGCACAGCCTCATGGAGTCCAGCCTGGCCTAGAACTCACTGTGCAGCTGCAGATAATCTTGAATTTCCGATGTTCCCGATCTGCCTCCAGGTAGTGAGATGCAGTCATAAAAGCTGTACATAATAAAATAGTCACACATGGGGTTTCTATGCATATGACTTGCCCTAATCATTCATCGTTTGTTTAGGTAAAAATGTTCAAAATGTTTTTTTCTAGCTTTCTGAAATATGTGATAAATTACCAATACTTGGACCATGAACTGATTTAAAAAAAAAAAAATGGTATCAGAACTCCTCATGTACTGGTGAGGACACAGACTGGCAAAAGGAAACATTCCTGAACACAGTGACTTGGAATTGAGTTTTAAATATATTTTGTGAAAGATTTTTTTTTTAATTCACTTATTTGACAATATGTGTGAGTATGTACCCATGCATGTGGGCACATCAGTGTGGAAATCAGAGGGCAAACGTCCAGAGACTTTCTTGCCTTCTACCTTGTTGAGAAAAGGTTTCTTTGTTATTCTCCTCACTCTGGGTACTCCTGGCCAGCTGGCCTGAATGCTTCCAGCTGAGTCTTCCATTCCTGCTTCCCACCTTGCTGCAGCAAGACTGAAGATACAGATTTACACCACCCACTGACTCTGGCTTTTCGTGTGGGTTGTGGTACCTGAAAAATGAGTCATCAGGCTTCTGCGGCTATCTCTTCACCTGAGCCAGCTGCCCACCGCCAAGATACTTTAAATTAATACAGGATGCTCAAGACATGTAAATAAAGTACTTTGATGTTTCAGGACGCTTCTCAACATCAGTTTTGCTCTTTTAATGAGTCCTTATTTACACCTGAATACGTGCCCTGTGCTGTGCTAAATATGTATGATGATATCAGACTACACTTCAAATTCCGTGGTTTCTCTACTGGCGTATGGCAAGTATTCCCTCAAATGTGTGTCTTTACCTTTATCTCCCACCTGAATACTAGATTATTGTGGAATTTTTTCTTTTTTTATTTTATAAAAAATTTAATTTTACATATCAACCACGGATTCCTCTGTCCTCCCTCCTCCCACCCACACCCACCTTCCCCCCAATTCACCCCTCATTTCCATCTCCTCCAAGGCAAGGTCTCCCCTGGGGATTCAGCTCAGCCTGGTAGATTCAACTGAGGCAGGTCCAGTCCCACCCTCCCTGCATCAAGGCTGAGCAAAGTGTCTCAGCATAGGTCCTAGGTTCCAAAAAGCCAGCTCATGCACTAAGGACAGGTCCCGGTCCCACTGCCTGGGGGCCTCCTAATAGTTCAAGCTAATCAACTGTCTCGCTTATCCAGAGGGCCTGATCCAGTTCCATGGGGGCTCCTCAGCTATTGGTTCATAGTTCATGCATTTCCACTAATTTGGCTATTTGTCCCTGGGCTTTTTTCCAATCATGGTCTCGATATCTCTTGCTCATAGAATCCCTCCTCTCTCTCACCGATTGGACTCCTGGAGCTCCACCTGGGGCTTGGCTGTGGAAATTTGAATGAGAAATGTCTCCCACAGTCCTGGTCGTTTTAACAAACACCTGGCTCCCTGGCTCCCAGTTAGTGGCCCTACTGTGGAGGCTTAGCTGCTGTAGCCTTGCTGGGGGAAGTCCATCACTGGAGGAAAGCTTAGAGACGTAAAGGTCTCCGGCCCTTCAGTCCGCCCCCCCCCCCCCCCCCCCCCCCCCCCCCCCCCCCCCCCCCCCCCCCCCCCCCCCCCCCCCCCCCCCCCCCCCCCCCCCCCCCCCCCCCCCCCCCGCCTCTGCTTCCGGCTGGTGGTTGAGTATGCGAACTCCCAGCTTCCCGCTCCTGCCACCCTACTTGATGCTGGCTGCAACGCTTGCTCCACTCCACTCCTGTGGAAACGTACGCCTCTGGAACTGTAAGCCAAATAGACCCTCCCTTCTCTAAGTTGTCTTAGTTACGGTGTTTTGTCACAACCACAGAGAAGTAACTAATGCAATAGCGGTCATCACCGTTACGGAATTGTCATCTCTGTGCGTTAACCAAGTGAAACTGACCGCGTCGTCTTTTGTGCTAATGTTCCCTCCTCCCCCCCCACCACCACCACATGACTGTCACCTTCTTCTCAGCCCAAGGAAACGTGGCTTCTCTTCACTGGTCACCTTCTGATGGCAACACTTTCAGCCCACATTGAGGGAACATTTTCCCTCTCATCTTTGTGTCCAACAGCCAGTGAGACCCCAAGATGGTGTGCTTGAAAAGTGTCTCTCGAATCCTTTTCTATCTCTTCTTCTCCATTGACGTTGCTCAAGTTCATGCTTCAATTCTATTTCACTTGCATAATCATAAGCACATAATTATAAATCTGCATTGAGTTCCGTAGAATTTATTTTATTGCCTTTCGGCTTTACGTTTTGTATTGGCATTAGGAGGGATTGAAAACAGACCAGGAAGGACACATTTTGTTGTACAAAGCTCCAAAAACAAAACGCTGAATCTCTTTGTCAGTGCTCCCCCATATTGTTCAGTCCTTTCTTAACTAAGCTGTTGCTTATACCTTACTCTCTAACTGCAAAGGATTATTCAAGATTCCAATACACTTTTGTTTCTGTGACTTGTCAAAATCACATTTCTGCCAATAAGGAAATACTAAAATAACACACTTGCGCCTATTATTTTTATGGTTACTAACATACACAGAGTCCTTGAGTACCTCAACAGTACTGTGGTAGTTTAAATGTAATTGGCCGCCATAAGTTCATTGGAGTGGCACTATTGGGAAGTGTGGCTTTGTTGGAGTGGGTGTGGCCTTGTTGGAGAAAGTGTGTCACTGTGGACCCAACGTTGAGGTTTCCTATGCTCAGGATATCATCTGGGGTTTCATTGGCTTCCTGTTGCCTGCAAGATGTAGGACTCTCAGCTACTTCTCCAGAACCACATCTATCTGTACACTGCCATGCTCCCCGCCACGATGATAATGGGCTGAACCTCTGAAACTGTTAAGTGAGCCTCCCCCCAATTAAATGTTTTCCTTTATAAGAGTTGCCTTGGTCACGGTGTCTATTCACAGCAATAGAAACCCTAGCTAAGACAAGTACCACCAGGTACCAAGCAGTGTAACTTGTGGACAGTATAATGGTCATGTGATCCTCCAAAAGCCACAGCACCTTGTCGCCTGCTACATTATGTGTACCTGTGTGAACTAGAATAGAACTAAACATAGTCATGCTTGCTTTTCTACATTAACACACCCGAACCTTTGACAAAAAAGGGATAGTTTTCTTCCTCTATGTTTTCACTGAAGCCCACAAAGTCCTTCATGGCATAAATTAGGATTTCTTTTGGTTTGTATTACATTAAAAATTTTAAGTTCTGTGTATGTATGAGTTCAGGAGGGTTGTGTGCATAAGGGTACAGCTGCCAGCTGAGGCTAGAGGCACAGGATCCCCTGGAATTGGACTTGTAAGTGGCTATGGGCCACCAGATGTGGGTACTGGGAACCACACTCAGGTCCGCTGCAAGACTGTATGTGCTCTTAACCTCTGAGTTGTCTGTCCAGCTACCTTGGCTGTCTTCATCTGCTCGACAATGTGAATTTAATGTTCTAGTGTCTGAAATAGATTGACTTGCTATAGGTACTAGCAGCTGTGCTTACCTGACTAGATGTAGTAGAATATGAATATGTGAGACATGAGACTTTGCAAGCCATAGACTGCATCAGAAAGACTTAAGCCTTATATATAATATGACTGGCTAGATTAATGCTAACGTACATTGAGGTCATTAGTGGAAGTACTAGATAAATTTGGAGTCGCAGAACGGTAAAATGAGTAAGGAAATGGCAAGACACTAAAAATAGGAAATACATAAGTGATACCAATAAAATTGGAAATACAAAATTTAACAAAATTTTAAGTCACTTGAATTTCTTTTCCCCTTAGTCTCCAACTCTGTAGCCCCGTCTTTATTCAGTTTTCAGCTGCTTCACTTTTATTCCATCTCAGTGCTCTTCCTTGTCGGTGAACTTTTTTACACAAGCAGCAATACACATTTCTTCTCTTTAACCTGCTGCTTTCGGGAAATCTACTGTCAAATATGTTCATGTTAGAGTTTTTACTTACTATGAAACCAAAGTACATTTTCTGGGGGAAACACCACGGAAGCCAATGCTGATAATAACCAGAAGAAAGTGATTTTAGCTACCAATTATCTCTATTTAAAAATGCATTTGGCTACTGTGTCTGACAGAGGATGTAAAGCATTTCATTTGGCTGGGTCCCCTTATGATGATTCCATGAAGACCAGTCTACTTTATTTGCTGATTGGTAAAGAAACAGACTTTGCTGACAGAGGGTGACCACTGGAACATTTTCTTTTCTTTTCTTTTTCTTTTTTTTTTTCTGGATTTAGAGTCAGTGTTATGAAAAATACATTTGCTTGAGATGTGTTAACAAAATGAGATTTCTGAAGTGGAGAACCAGACCCAGAGTCAGCACAGCTCCATCATGGTCACAAATTCTCTCCGGGGGACAGCAGTTACAAGACATTGGATTTTACCTAATCCAGTGAGAGCTTGGTTCCACTCAAAATTCTAGAAATGCCTCTAGCTTGCTACTGAATACTCTGTTGATGGACACCCGAGAAAATGGTGGGCATTTGCCTTGTTCTAACATAATGAAGTGAAAAAGAGAAATACAGTGTTTCAATTTTTTGGCGAAGAAGAAAATTCTCTACAGAGAAGTAAAATGAGCAATTGTGATCTCTTTGTAAGCACAATTGGATTTTGTGGTTTATTTTCATGAATAACGGATAGTTCTGAATTCTATAAACTAAATTGTGTATATGAATGAGTTTTGAGTATCTTGGAAATACAATCAACTATCTGAGAGCCTTCCGTGACTTTGGAAGAAACTCACTGCAGGGCAATGTGACAGGAGCCTGACAAACTGTTAACACATCACACAAACACATCATTTTACTTCCTTGTTGTCTGAGTAAAACCAGCAGCCTTGGCAAGCTTGTCTGGGCCACACCACTGGATATTCACTGCAAATCTGGCTGTGGCAGAGGTCTTCTACTCAGTGACCAGATAGACTAAAATTGTTCAATCAAGGCACTAATTAATTTTGTTTGTTATTATAAAAGTTGGTGAATGTGCACCATGTTAAATTTCTGTAGAAATAATCTTTAGGCATTTATCACATCCTCAACAGCTTTTGTATGATGCCTTTTTTTTTGTAAGAAATTTCTTACAAAATCTTGAGTGAAACCTTTTGGACAGATTTAAAAACAAAATTATAAACATCGATGTTTTATTGATATTGATAATTGCTGCAAGTAACAATTTGTATGATGTTATTGTGATTTAGTATTGATATTAGGCTGAGTATTGATAAGTGGTGTTTATTATTATTGATACTGATACATATGTCTAAATTAAGTAAATATAATATTTTTTATAAAAACATGTTTATAATATCAATACAAAGAAAAATTTCACTTAGCTTTTACTAAATAAGTAGTCATATTCAATACCTTTGTGTTAGCTGATTGTGCAATTCATTTTGGATGTAAATTCATGAATAAAAATAGTATATTAAGTCGAATTTTAATCACACAGATTAACTTAAAATCTCAACAAGATCAGATCATTCTTATCTGTAAAACTGTACTTTAAAAAGTGAAAAACGACTTTTCTGTTCAAGTGCTTTGACTGAAAAAAAAAAGAAAAACAGAAAGAAAAGGAAACAGAAGGTAACCTGAGATCCTAAATTCTTTGTTTATTTTAATTTTTAAAATGCATTAGAGGGGCAGGAGGACATTAGTAAGGATTTTGTCTTCAAATAACTTCCCTTTGCAAACTGTCAAAAACCTTAACATTCTAATAAGTGATTTACTGCTTGCGAAGAGACTGGAAACAATATCTTAGGTTTGTGTCCCCAAACATGCACGTTTCTGATGGAGACTTTTAAAGTGTCAGTACTAAAGAGACAGTGCCGGTGACTTGTACCTGGCACTAGTCCCTCTAGTTCTTTCCTGGAGAGTGGTTTGGGGCGACAGAGTGGCGTCCGGTTTCCCAGGTTGTTGACCCTGACACGCTGCGGGGGGGGGGGGGGGGGGGGCAGCCAAGGAGCTTGACAAAATCTCATTAATCATTTTAAATTAAAGCCAAGCATGCTGTCCTACCCCACCTCGAAGGAAGACCCTCCCCCAGCTTTCACAAATGAAACTTTCCTCAGGATAGAGTTGGTGTATTTCTCTTGTTGGTCTTTAATTCAATCAGACAAAAAATAGAAGAAAATGCTCTGCTTTTCTACGCTTGAAAACATTTGTCTGAAACACGTTTAGCTGACCAGCCATGCATCCTAAAAAATATCACAAACTTGGAGTAAAAATACCTGAAAACATTCTGAGGGTGAACTGTTCCAGTCAATTAGAAATAGTGTTTAACTTTATTTTCTTATGTTCTCCTTAAGCATTTTAAAAAGAAGTTAAGGAAAAAGAATCCTTATAATGTATGTTGATATGTTCTTTTCCCATCTATTTTTTCTTTTGTAACTTTTGCTTTGTTTCAAATGGTAGTTGTAATATGTGTATGTATTTATATATATTTGTATGTGTATATATTTATACACATATGTGTATACTTATTTTTAAATATCTATCATAAGATAAGATAAGA